CCCAGCAGGTCGAGGCTGCGGTGGCCGGGAGCGGCCACTGCACTCCAGTCTGGGCGACAGAGTGAGACTCCACCTTAAAATAAATAAATAAATAAATAAATAAGGTGGTAAGGTAGGCCATCAGGTGACATCTGACTTGGGGAGAAGGTGAGGAACTTAGCTATGTAGACTTCAGGCAAAGGAAGGAACCACTATAAAGGCTATCAGACAGGAGTGTGTTTGAGTTAAAGGACAGCAAAGAACCTGCTGCAGCTGGGTAAGTGAGGGGGAGGGGGAAGATTTGTACAAGGTGCGTTCAGAAGGAAAATGAGGGACTAGATCATGTGGAACCTTTTTAAGACCATGTGTGGCTTGGCTTTTACTCTTAAGTGAGATAGGCAGTTATTGCAGCAGTTTTTGTTTTGTTTTTTGAGTCAGTGTCACTCTGTTGCCCAGGCTGGAGGGCAGTGGCACGCTCACGGCCACTGTACTTTCAACCTGCTAGGCTCAAGTGATCCTTCCACCTCAGCCTTCCAAGTAGCTTGCCACCACGCCCAGCTAATTTTTCTTTATGTATTGTAGAGATGAGGTCTAGTCAAATTGTCCAGGCTGGTCTCGAATCCATGGTCTCAGGCATTACTCTCGACTCTGCCTCCCAAAGTGCTGGGATTACAGGTGTGAACCACTGTGCCTGGCTGACTGTCTCTTAAAAAAAAAAAAAGAAAAAAGAAAACAAAATAGGATTGGTTGCTTGACTTAGAGTAGGTTTAGGGGAAAAACAGGTTTGATATTGGACATGTTCAACAGGAGCTGGACAGTTTTCTCTTGGCCTTTTTTTTCTTTTTTTCTTTTTTCTTTTTTTTAAGTCAGAGTCTCACTCTGTTGCTCAGGCTGGAGTGCAGTGGCACACTCATGGCCACCACAGCCTTGACCTGCTGAACTCAGGCGGCCCTTCCCCCTCAACCTTCCTAGTAGCTAGAACCACAGGCATATGCCACCATGGCCGGCTAATTTTCTGATTTATTGTAGAGACAAGGTCTCGCCATGTTGCTCAGGCTAGTCTCAAACCCTCGGACTCAAGCAGTCCTCTCACCTTGGCCTCTCAAAGTGCTCAGATTATAGGCGTGAGCCACCGTGACTGGCTCTTAGACATTTAAGTGAGAAGTTGGACAGGCAGATGGATATTTTGACATTACGAGACAGGTTTGGGCTGAAGACCAAAATGTGGGCAGAGTTAGACTTTGAAACTGGATTAGGAAGTACATGTGAAAAGGGGGATTGGTCCGGCTCCATAGCTGGTAATCCCAGCACTTTGGGGGGCAAAGGCAGGTGGATTGTTTGAGTCCAGGAGTTTGAGACCAGCCTAGGCAACATAGTGAAACCTCATCTCTACAAAAAATTTAAAAATTTGCTGTGTGGTGGCGTGTGCCTGTAGTCCCAGCTGCTCTAGATGCTGAGGTTGAAGGATTGTCTGACCCCAGGAGGTCCAGCATGAACAACAGCATGAGACACCAACTCAAAAAGAAGGGGGATCAAGTGCTGAGTCCCAAGGCCATTTTTGAACTCAACTCTCAGTCCTGGGTGGTATTTGAAAGGAGCACAGCTAGAGAGGTAGGAAGAAAAATGCATGAGCACGGTGTTCTAGTAGCCAGGAGATATGTGGCAAGGGATGAGTTTTCAGTGGGACTCATGTTGCTATGATAGGTCAGACAAGATGAGAGCTGAGAATTTAATTGGAGTGTTTGGCTTGTTAACATTTTTTTTTTAAATTTTAAAGATGTGGGGTACAATTCAGGGTTAGGTATACAAATGTTCATTATGCAGGTACCCTTGTTGTTGAGGTGTGCCCCCCCCCGGCAGTTTCCCACTATTGACAATCTCTTTTTTCTAGTATTATGATCATTATACTTCAAGGTCCACTTATGAGTGAGAACATATGGTACTCTGTTCTTTGTTTCTGTGATAGATCACTGAGTATGATCGACTCTAAATCCATCCAAGTTGCTGCGAAGTCCTCATGTGTGTCCTTTTTTATGGCTGCATAATATTCAGTTGTGTGTATGTACCACACTTTTTTTATCCAGTCCAGCTTCAATGGGCAGCATGGTTGATTCCGTGTTTTTGCTATTGTAAATAGAGCTGCAACAAACATACGTGTACAAGTACCTTCTTTATAGAATGATTTGAGTTCCTCCAGGTACATACCCAATAGGAGGATTGCTGGGTCATATGGAAGGTCAATTTCTAGTTCTTTCAGAAGTCGCCACATTGTCTTCCAAAGAGGTTGCACTAGTTTGCATTCCCACCAGCAGTATGGAAGTGTTCCTTTTTCTCCATCCTTGCCAGTATCTGTTGTTGTTTGTTTTATTAATGATGGCCATTCTTACTGGGGTTAGGTGATATCTCAATGTAGTTTTGGTTCATTAACGTTTAGTGTAATTTTTAATAAGGTTGGATTTAGGTCTACCATTTCATTATTTCTTTTCTGATTTTTGTTCCGCCTCTTCTTTTTTCTTGTTTTCTTTTGAACTAATTGAGAGTTTTTTCTTTTTTGAGTTAGAGTCTCTCACTCTGTCGCCTAGGCTGGAGTGCAATGGCACACTCACGGCCACCACAGCCTCGACCTGCTGGGCTCAGGCAACCCTTCCACCTCAGCCTTCCAAATAGCTGGGACCACAGGTGCACATCACCATGCCTGATTAATTTTTTTATTTATTTTTAGAGACAAGGTCTTGCCAAGTTGCCCGGGCTGGTCTCGAACCCGTAGGCTCAGGCAGTCCTCTCACTTCCACCTCCCAAAGTGCTGG